CACCCCTCCAGCTAGACCTGTCTCCTCCAGCTAGATCCCGCCTCCTCCAGCTAGGCTCCACCTTCTAAGGATACCACAACCTTTCAGAAGAGCACCACCAGCTAGGGACCCAAATGTTCAAACACATGCCCCTGTACGGGACACTGTACATTCACCCCCAACCGCGTTAGGTTTTCAGTTGTAGCCTGTTAAAGGTCCCACCTTAACCTACTTTGGCAGGTTTTACAGGGGCTAGATCAGTATTTCAAACTTTTGTGTTGGTTTTTAACCAAGTTCTTAAAACTTACAGCCATACTTCATGAGAGCAGTCCAAATGCTTGTATTCTTTGATCAAAGAGAACATACAGAACACTGAGGCCCTGTCAGTCACAACACCAAGCATCGGGACCCATTTGTTCAAGTTCAGATAATTACAAATTCCCTACTGCTTGGGACCAGCTAAACATAGTAACAAGTAGCTGGTGGTTTTTCCTGTTTTCATAAAGTCCTAAGACTATAGAGATAAAAGGCCTTCATCGGGCAAAATTCCTCATATGAGAGCAGAGAACATTTTTGTTTTCTTTTTTGGGGGGTGGGAGTGGGGATTAGTGATCCACTATGTTGCAGGGGTTGACCTTGAATTCCCGATTTTCCTGCCTCTAAGTGCTGGGGTTATAGGTAGGTGTCATCATGCCTTAATCTGAGGGAAGACTATTCAGCCAAGGTGTTAAGGGACTTTTCCCCAGGGGCAGGGTTCGTCAGGCCCCAGCTGTCAAGTCTTGTCTGTAGAGCCTTTGAAGATGTGGCCTTGGGTTCCATCATGCACTGGGAGTGATTCCTGCATCTAGATTGGCTCTCTTTGCAAACACTATCATTCAGCAATAACACGAGTCAACTCTTTGTGGAAGGCTGGTATCACTGGATTAAAATTAAAAACAGAAGTGAGCCGAAGGGGGCAGTTTACCGTCCTTAGCTGTCCCCTCCACGAGGACATAGCAGCTGCAGAGTTTAGTCATGTTCAGACCCTTAAAAAGAGTGGAAAAAAGAAAGCTCATACTTCCCAGGGCCTGGGCACTGCTGTGCCAGCCAGCTGGGCACAGTGCCGTGGCAAACAGAGGTCTTGGGTTTCAGAAATCCGAGACCCCGACCTTGCAAACAGGGAGGGACACGAGGTTGACATTGGGGTTGTCTGTGGCATTTGGTTTGTTTCTGGGTTCATGTCTGTCCATAGTTACATCTGTAACTATGTACAGCTGCTGTGAGAAGCCCATAAGACTCAAAGAGTCAGGCCTCCAGGTGAAAAAGTATGGGCTGTCTCAGGAAGTTTGTGTGTGTATGTGTGTGTGTGTGTGTGTGTGTGCACGTGTGCGCGCGCGCGCAGGCATGTGTCAGCAGCTTCTAAGGAAGGCTTGCAGTGTAAACGTGGGCTTCCTCTTGTCCAGAGTTAGCCTGCTCAGGGAATAGAGCACAATTCAGGTTTCTGAGTTGGAAGCCTGATTAATCTCTCTGTCAGTTACATATGGAAATAAATTAGTAAATGGTCCATCTGGGACTAAACTACTGCAGAGGCGATAAATTATCACCATCGTATATGTCGGTGTTGCTGAAGGCTGAGCTGTGCTCTCAGGAGCTGCGGAAAGATAACCAGATACCTGGCTGTGGTCAGAGGGATAACATTGGTTTAAAAAAAAAAAAATCTTAGGGAAGAATTTACCTTGAACTGTTTCTAGGGAGAAAGGCTTGGTTGATGCCAAGTCTGCGCTTTAGAACTGCTCTATCTGCAAACATTTAAAGAGTCTTGAGGGCATATGGAAGATTTGAGTTTTCTATTTTCAAAGGCTACTGTAATACTGCGTCGTTAATTAATACCCAAGGTCTCAATAAAGAGTAGAGTCCCGTGTGAGATTGTGAGCTATGCTACAACAGTAACTCTACTTCTGTTTCTTATCTCAACGTCAACAAAGGCGGGGCAGGTCATCATTTCTCTTTTTAAAAAAAGAGTTGTTTGTTGGGCATATATGTACAGGCTGTGGTAGAGGTCACAGGACCACTTCCTGGGAGCCCGTTCTCTCTTTCCACCTTGTGTGGAGGGAGGACCTTCTCTCTGCAGCTAGCTGCTGACTGCTGACTCACTCTCTTGGCTCCCGTCTCCCTGCAGGAGTGCTGGGGATATGTAAGCCACCACAGCTGGCTTTTTTATGTGGGTTCTCAAGACTGAACTTGTCAGGTCTGGGTCACAAGTGATTTATCTGCTAACCCTTCTGCCTCAGTCTCCCAGAATTATAAGAGTAAGCCACCATATCCTTCCTAATGTTCTTTTATATAAAAGTTTAAAGTGAAGCTTAGGGGGGTCTGACCTTGTTCATAAATAACAGCTTTGGCTAGAAGGAAGAGTTGTAACGGGCAAGATAATATTGCTAATTCTGATTTTTTAAATTTCAACCGAAAGCCTTGGTGTGGCATCAAGATCCCACTGTTACTAACCAGCACCAGGAAATGGAGACATGACACATTCTGCTTATGTCTGTGTCCTAGAAGTGAGAAGAGTTACTGACATGAAAGTCCCAATCCTCCACCTGGGGAGGTCAAGTATAAGTTCTGCTTTTGGGAGGATGTATGTACACCAGGTATCCCGAGGTACCTTATAATGTTAAAACCAAGGAAGCGTCAGGTCTTTGAGATGTGATAATATATTTTTCCCTTTTGCAAAAAACACCCAAGGCTGCAGTGATGCGAGTGCACGTGCGTGTGTGCGTGCGTGCGTGTGTGTGTGTGTGTGTGTGTGTGTGTGTGTGTGTGTGTGTTTTCTCCTGGGTAGACCATGAGTTGTGAGTCCTTGAAGCAACTGAGAGACTCCTTTGTGGAAAATGCAGACAGCAAATGTCAAAAGTAAAATCTAAAAAATAAACTGGGTACGAACATCTTTAAGTGTCATGTCAAAGGATATGGATTTCTATGCCCAGGGTATAGACTGAGTAGCCCTTACATGGGAATTAGAAGCGATGGTCCCCTTGATCTCACCTCTCAGTGATTAGAATTGACCTTGATCCACTCAGATCATCAAGTTTCTCATTTACCAGCCAAACCTGGTTCCTCTGTATCTCAAATAAGGTGCAAGTTAGAGCATGGCCTGTTTTTGCCTGACCCAATCTACTCGTTGTTTTTTAAAATTTAATTGATTTATTTCTTTGAGACAGGGTCTCATGTGTTCCAGGCCAGCCTACAACTTGATATGTAGCCAAGAATGGCCTTAAACTTCTCTTCTTTTGTTGACTTCCTGGGTGCTAGGATTGCAGGCATGGGCCACCACATCTGGTTTTACACAGTGCAGGAGACCACACCAGAGCTCCATGGGTACTGACTGGCCAAGCAGTCTACCAACTGCAATAACAACCCAGCACCCTGATTCTAATAGTTCCAAAAGCATTTATTTGATGTGTATGCATGCCTATGTAAGTGTGTGTGTGTGCAGGTGCATGCGTGTATTGCAAGTCAGAGAACATCTTTCTGGAGTTGGTTCTTGCCCTTTCACCTCCATTTATTTGTTTGTTTTGAGTCAGGGTTTCACTATGTAGCCCTGTCCTGGAACCTGAGCTGTAAACCAGGCTGCCCTTGAACTCACAGAGATGCTCCTGCCTCTGCCTCCCTAGTGCTGGGAGTAAAGGCATGCCACCACTAGCTGGCTGCCTTAGACAGCCTTTCTCTTGTTTCTGCTGCTATATAGCACAGTGCAGGCTCACCAGCCTAAGAGCTGCTGGGCAGGTCTGCTGTCTGCCTCCCATGTCTCAGTTGGAGTGCTGGGAGCACAGCAGGGCTCTCATCTTTTTTCATAGATCCCAGCTCTTTACATAGGGATGAACCCAGGGTCCCAGACATTAGCGCACTGAACCATCTCCCATTCTCATCTTAAGGTTCACTATTATTGTCATTTTCTTATTGATCAACCTCTAACTTCATCCTAACCCCAACTAGACAGCAAATGTCTTCCCCAAAGCCCTCTAACCAACAGAAAAGACACTCTGGGTGTATCATGCTTGCATCTTCCCAAGTGGATAATGCATTTCAAAGAACTCCTTCCCCTTTCTTCTTCCTCCCTCTCCAGTCCCTCCTCAGTGTTCTGTCTTTAATTATGTTTTAAGCATGAAGTAGAGTAGGGCAAAGTTTTATTTTGTGACTGGATCAATGCCTTTGTGTGAGTGGATGAGCGATGATCTAAGATCGGGGCACTTGAAGGCTCCCGGAAGCACTGTTTTGTACCCCTCTCCTCCCCTGTTCTGTCTGTAGAACCTGGATGAGAGCTAAGATTTCCATCTTTGCGTCAAGGACCTCAGATGCTACTACTCCAAGGACCCGTTTTAGAGCCACTGTTGTAATGACCATTTCCTAACATGCTCGAACCAACCCTCACAGGACAACATCATTCTTTTCCTAGAGAATCTATTGATTTGTCATTCTTCAAGACCTTCAATGCCAAAAACTGTCTTCCAGTGAAAATCATTATGCAATCTATCTCATGAACCAACTTTTCTATTGTCCAGTGTTATTAACTGTGACCCACTAACCTGTGAGTTAAGTGAGGTATTTCTTAGCATTAGAAACAGAGGGACTGCATTTTACCACGAAGGAGGCATTGACTTTGTAGGGTCGCAGTAGGTCAAGCCTGGCCTTGAACACTCGGTGGCGTCTGACAGACAGACAAGTGTTTCAGAGGTAGCTATAAGAAAGGAAAATGATCTCAGGAACGTTCAGGTGGCTTTGTAGTGAATCAAATAATCTCACAATGTCTATGGTATCTGTTTTTCAAATTCTGGGCTTTCTTGTCCCCTAGAAGCAGTTTCAAAACCACTCCATCCTGGAGGCCTGACTCCTTCACTGTCTGAGACCTGAGAGGCACTAATGGCAACTGGCTTTTCACTGAAGTGTGTCCGTTTCCAGGGTCAGGCCAGAGAGGATGTGCACCTTGGCTGTGAGGACTCGTCACTTCTGTATGCTAACCCTGTCTCCCTTCTGCTTCACTCCAGCAGCCTCTAGAAGTGTCGTCTACTGATTATGAAGGCACCTCTGTCCTTTCTGGAGCGATGCTGACCTCCATTTCCTGGACCCACTCTGACTCAGGTAAATCACACTCTGGTGGCCTTTCCCCGGCCACCAGACCTTAATAGACATTGAATCCATGAAATACCGAAGCTATATTTAAATGCAAATACCGAGTTGATTGGTTCTCCCCCCCATGGTAACCCTTCCCCCAATCTTTTTAATGACCCATTCATGCAGCTGACCAGACTGACAATGTGGTCAACCCAATTTAGTCATTAAGATGATTGAACAATCTTGATTCACATCTTTATTTACAATTCAGCTGTGCGTCTTAGGCCCCCAAAGCCACCTGAACGTTGCTCTTCATATGGAGACACACTAGTACCTAACTAGTGCATCTAACGTACCTTCTTTCCCAGAGTGCCTTGCACAGTTGTTGCGTCGTTCTGATGTTGTGCCCATTGGTTGTGTCCAGAAGAGACTGTTGAGTGTCTGTTCTGTGCACCTGGGATAAACAGGGGTGAAGAAACACAAGGCTGCTTTCTGTCTGCAGAGCTCTTGCACATGCCAGGTTCACAACTCCGGTCATGAGAGAATGGCAGGCAGGTGGTGGGACTCAGTTTGGGCTGGGGTCTAGGTGTTAAGTATAGGGCTTTGGGGAATCCACAGGCTTCCAGATTTGAGGTTGGAATAGTTATTGGGGTGGGGGCTGGGCACTAAGTATAGGGCTCTGCTTTGGGGAATCCACAGGCTTCCAGATTTGAGGTTGAAATAGTTATTGAGGAGTTGTGAACCTAAAGGGCCTCAGGTGGCTTCATCTGAGGGTCTCTTGGCTGGGCCGAGCTAGGAGAGTGACATGGCACTTCAGCAGGAAGACAGGACTGAGCCCTCAGTGAGTCCAGCTGATGCAGGGCAGGCTGCTTCATCCCTGGCCCACTGCCCCAACAAATTCAGACTTCTCCTCAAGGCCTGGGCTGCTACCTGGGGAACCCCTGTCCTGTGACACAGGGGACTTGCCTGGTATCATCTCTCCCAGGACTGTGGCCACAGTTGTACAGCTTTGGGCATGGTGATCCCTCTGCTTCTGTGCCTGTATGTATTATTATTTACTCATCCCTGCATCCTCCAAGTGCTTGGGGTACCTCTGCCTTGATGAGGCCCTGGATGAAACAGATGCTATTTGAGGGCAGCGCCTAACCTTCAAAGATAAGAAGTAAAATTGAAGGGTAGGAAACCCAAGTGAAGAACATGAATTTATAAGTCTATGTGGGGACTGGCTCTAGATGCTTCCAAAAACTTGAATCCGGGGACAATCTCAAGGTCAAACTGGGAAGCACAGCTAAGAATGGGAAGCCAGACGCCCTGAGTGCTTTGTGGGTTGTGCAGCGGGTATGGACACATTCAGTTATTTGGTAGTGCTGCTTATTTTTAAGATTGAGCTGTCATGGATTCACCATCCTGATAAATTCTTAAAGGTACCACTGAGAGCTGCCAACCAAGGTACCTGTTATACAGAAATACCCTGACCAACCCAGACCTGCTGAGGTACACAAGTACCCAAGCCCCGAGTGATGGAGGCGCTCCAGCCTCCTGGCATCACAGCCATTATCCGCAGCCAGAGGGACAGAGAAACGGTTAAAAGCGACAGATTTGGTATTCTCTTTCTACCACATTGAACCAATGGAAGTGACCCTCCTCTTCCCAGCTGAAAACTTCATACAATTCAGCTCCAAACCAAAGGCTATTGGCGTAGATGAGACTAGATAAGAGAGGTTCGTACACTTTTCAAGACTCTGGAGGAAATAAAAGCAGGCTAAATGTTGTGCCTTATAAGAATGTTCTCAAAGATTGGGGATGTGGCTCTGTTAACAGAGTGTGTGCCTAACATGCACTAAGCCCAGAGCTCTATCCCATACACTTGGTAAAGCCAAGTGTGGTAGCCCATACCAGTAACCTCAGCATCTGGGTGTGGAGGCAAGAGGTCAGAAGTTTAAGACCATCCTCCCCTACATAGCTAGTTTGAGACCAGCTGGTGTTGCAGGGTACCCTGTATGAAATTGACATGTTAGTGTCTGTAAGTAGAATTTTGTTGGGGGTGGGGCAGCATAGTTCACAGATCGTTCATCTCTGCATGGTGAAGGCAGCTTTTGCACCACAGTGAAAAAATAGGGCACAGAGCAGAGACCATAAAATATTTACTGTTTGACCTTTTGCAGAAGCGTGCCGCCTCCTGGCCTAAACAATGGTGTGACATGAGCATTTGCAAAATTTGACTCCATTAAGAAATCTGGTCATATAATGAGTAGATTCAAGAAGGAAAAGGAGGGTGAGAGGGAATTTCTAGATAAAGACACTGAGTCAGTCACACTGTAGTTGGGTTTTCCAAGTATCTCTGTAGCTGTCAGTTAACTCTAAATTCAGCGTTGAAGCTACTTCATTTCTGGAACCTACCTGCACTGTTAGTCTGATTTTCAAATCAGGCACCAGGCTCCCTGGATTAACCTAAATGTTGGACTAGGCAGCACCAAATTAAAGCCAACCTTGCATTTTGGAACTCTTTTTGTTCTTTTTCTTTGGCATTAGATGTGAGCTATTTTATCTTAAAGCAAATAAATATTTGGTTTTAAATCAAGTAGATGTTGCAGGCTTACCATGAATAAGCTAGTTTGTCTTGCCAATTTTTTCCCCCCAAGCTGATAGGATTGCATGATACTAGAGTAGAAACTATGATTAAAGTTGGAGATGTGAGCTCCTATCTTACTGACTGGCTGAGCTGGGGAAGGCTGCAGCTTCGTAAGACTTAAGAGTGCATCCTGTGGGGCTGGTGAGGCAGCTTAGTAGGTAAAGGCACTTGCTGCCAAATGATGTAAGCCCCATAACCTAAATTCAACCCCCCAGAACCCAAGGAAAGATGGAAGGAAATGACTGACACTGCAAAGTTGTTCTGTGACCATCACACGCTGCTGTGGGCGCGCGCGCACACACACACACACACACACACGCGCGCGCGCGCACACACATGCACACATGCACACACACGCACACACGCACACATGTACCACCATTACCACCACCACCAATAACAATAATAAATATTTAACTATGTTGGTGCTGGACAAATACATGGTTAAGAGCACTTATTGCAGCCAGGTGGTGGTAGGCACGCCTTTAAACCTAGTACTTGGGAGGCAGAGGTAGGAGGATCTCTGTGAGTTAGAGGCCAACCTGGTCTACAAAGCGAGCTCCAGAACATCCAGAGCTATAACATAGAGAAACCATGTCTCAGAGAGAGAGAGAGAGAGAGAGAGAGATATTAACTGCCTGTTCTGTTACCCCCACATCCTATTCTGGCTTCCCGGCTTCTGGCTTCTGCACACACATGCATAGACACACACTCATGCATGTTCACACACATACACAAATAAAAAAAAAAAAAGACAAATACAATGGAAAAGTATGTAAAGGGCTGGAGGTATGTAAAAAAGTATGTAAAGTCTTAGGTTCAATCCAAAGTGTATATAAACCGGGACTTCTCCCTAGCTACATGGCAAGTTCAAATCTAGCTTGGGCTTCTTGATACCCTGTCTGATTAAAAAAAAAAAGGCCTAACCACAGTCAACACAGACCAAATAGCCTATAGTATGCTGTTGAACAAAGTGCCATTTACTTAGAGGACTGTATGGTCCTCTCCCTGGGTCCTTCGCAGTCTGTGTTCAGAACCAAATGCATGGACTCAGAAGGGTCAATGGCTGGAAAACAAGCCACATGTCTTGTATTGCTTGCTTCAAGAAACCCAGCCCTGGGAAGTCACACATGTATTTTGTAGATGCATAAAGAAAAAGAAAGAAAAATTAGGTAGACATTTCTAATCTTGTCTCATGAACAATATAGGAATAACTTTAAAATATTCTACTTTAAGCATGCATTTAATTTGTACTCTGGGAACCAAATAGTGTTGCCAAGATAGAGCATTCTAATAATGATTTATGTAAATTTATTTGTACAAAGTAATGGTGTAGTTGCCTATAGCAAATTGCTTAGAATATGAAATGACATTTATGTTTTTTTTTCTCTCTCTCTCTCTGAATGAATACAATGTTGAAAATGAGAGAGCCCAAAAAGGAAAGGAAACTCAAGTTCAAAATGGAGTCTGATGCCTCAAGAAGCAGAAATGGCCAGCCAGGTGTAAGAGCTGTATCTGAGTTGTTCTCTGTGATATAATTGTCATTTTTATAGACAAGAGAGTGTTGGAAGGCCAGAGCCCTATGTTTGGGCATGGTAAATTATACAGACACCAAAACTTTTAGAACAGCGACAAATCCCTTGCCCTGGTTGGTGCCCCAGGTGGCTAGCTTACAGCATGTGGCATGCAAAACAAGTGCAATTAAAATTGGGCAATTAATCTTAGCCACTAGGGGGGAAAGTCATGCTTTAGTCATGAATGGAGCCCAAATATTATGAAACAAAGATCAAGCAACAGAACTCTCGCAAGATCGGATTCTCAGACCTCAGTGGGTGTGCCTGCTACCTACCCTGTTTGTACCACTGGTGATGGCTCCAGGTGTTCCCTGAGACCATTTGGTTAGTGAGAGCCATAACCCACCAAACAGGGTCTGGATGCTTGGAGCTGGTGAATATCCACTACAGTTTCCACACCCTGCACTGTTTAGAAGAATAAATCGAGCATTATTATCCCTGAAGATACTTATTTTGCTCAGAGAGTACTTTTCCTATCTCACTTGCTGGTCCTAATCATTTGGAGGAGGTGGATATTTATACTATAAACTTGAGGTCTAGGGGAGTGGCAGAACAAGATGTCTGTGGACTTTCAGTCAAAGCTCTGCCTTTTGGCTTACCCCACGGCATTTTGGAATTATGCTCATGCTCGGGAGAGGACAAGAAGAACAGAATGACCGTGCAGTGTGGTCTTCAGTTGGTCTGGGCCCTGGGCTGATGACTGATAAGATGTAAAGGACAAGCAGGATCATCAGCCTGAATGGAAAGCACCCTGACTTCCAGGAAGGAGGACAATCTCTGTGAGTTCCAAGCCAACCTGGTCTACAGAGAAAGTTCCAGGA